TCCCGTCAATATACGTTACCTTATCAGAAGAAGTGCTACATTTAGAGACCCTTAAATCGTCTTAAAAGACAAATTATTCAATATTGCAATCAAATGGGCACGAATAAAGGAAATATTTATAGAGGATTCCCAAAACCGACCCAAGCTAGTAAGATTGAGGTGCAGTTAATTGAAAGATATCTATCAAAGTTCTTTTCCAAATAATTTCTCTCTCTCTCTCTTTTGTTGGTGTTATTCTACGAGTTTTTCCATAAATAGTTATATCCGGATGCGTATCCATGTCCCCCTCCCTCTCATCCCTTGAGTAAATTGCCCAAAATAAAAGGGAAAGTTTACCAACGATCTATAAAGCCGACAGCAGGTCAGTAAGATTGAGGTGCAGTTGATTGATTGATATTTTACTAAATTTCCTTCTCCAAACGATTTTCTCTCTTGTTTTATTGTTCGAAATTCCAGTTAGTAGTTACATAAGGATTTGTAAATAATGGAGCTTCGATGTAAAGTATACTATGCCATCTAGATCAACTCACTTTGACTATTTCACTGGGTATCTAATAGCTCCCACCAGCACAAGTACCAGCAAATCTGCCACAAAGGTTTAAGGAGATGAAAAAAATGACCTAGTGATTTTCAGTCTCCCGAAGGCCTCATTAAGCTCTAGGCGACACCCTTGGGTGCAGTCAATATATTTTATTGAATATTAAGGAATTTCATAGATGACATCATTGAAGTAGGACCTCAAAACTTTCTGAAGTAAAGTCCAAGGAGGGGAAAATAAAGACGGATGTCTCACAGCTTACATGCATGACAACATCTTAAAGTAAAGAAAAGTTCACTGAAATAGAAACTCAGACAATCATTGCTGCAGGCTAGTGGTTTACAGGTTCTCGATTGAAGGAAAGGAAAAACATAGCTAACCACAAATTCCATTCACTTCTTTACATGTAAAACTAGTTTTTTGGGGACAAAGGCACTTGCTACTTTGACAGTACTCTAAGTTTCATCTATTTTTGAAATAACTGCATAACCAGTAGGTAGCCCCTTAACTTAATGGAGTTAATTAGCTCCAATATCAATATAACTTTGAGGTCCATTAACAATTCTATAGCAGAAATACAGTCAATCAAGAAAGCCATAGTAGTATATAAAGAACAAATACAACAAGAAAAAGAGCAAAAGATATGCAGAGATTACTAATGCAAGGATTGCAATGCACAGATTATTTCTTGATGAAATAAATCGCCACTAAAGGAGTAGCCAACACAAAACCCACAAGCAAGATTACAAATTTTATACTAAACTCACAAGTGTACGATAGCATCACATTTGTAAGTGAAGCACCACGAACTTGAGTAACCAATACAGGACCAACAAGCAAAATGACAACTTTAACACATAACTGTTAAAAAACCACAAACGGTCACAACTTTAACAGAAAAATGCAAATGAATAATAGTTAAAATGAACCTGTAAAGAGTGGCGTTTGATGGGTCTTTCTTGATGGCTTGAGTGTACAAAGCTGCAGCTTTGAGATAGTTCCCAGCTTTGAAGAATTCATTGCCCTGATCTTTCAGTGTTGTCTCTGCTTTGACCTCTGATTCCCCCATTTTTGCTATCAGAAATCTTACAGCAATTTGCTGTCTTGGCAATGGAGGTTTTGCTTTACTAGGGTTTTCTGAGATCGTCTTTGTTATGTTTGTACTTTCTAGTTCGACATGTCTGTTCTAAACAATCCTCCCTTTACTTTGTTACAATTCCAATTTGGCCCCCATTTCAAGAATTTAGGGGTAAAATTTACAAATTCCATAACTATTTATTAACCCTGTCAAGGGAAAAAACAAGGAAAATTAAGATAAACAAATTGTGCGATAATAAAGAGTTTAATACAATAAATTGATTTGTATTACATTCCTAGCCGACGGCAGCATCCTACCTTCACAAGGTTGGGGTAAGATATGCATACGTACTATCCTCCCCAGATTACATGGTGTGAGATAATATTGGGTATGTTATAGTTGTCGTTGTATTGATTTGTATTACATGTGAGGTAGTGAAACACCGTGTATAGGGTTATTCTATGATAAGTCATTGCATGAAAGAATGACACGTGGAGCCGAAGGCAGAGGATAGCTAAAACCGAAGACAATTATTTCATCTGTTACCGGAAAGAATGGTGCCCATAAAGATGCAATAAGTGCCTACCACCTGGTAGCATTTAGTGGAGAATATTTCACAGCATTAAGTATACTGCCCGTTATAAAGAATTTATCATTCATTCCTGCCGTTACACATTCTTCAATGGCCCTCATAATTGACATTAAAGATGGGCATGATCCTAGGACATTGTTCCCTAGGTGCACCTATAAATAGTGAGCTTTATTATCATTGTAAGGCACACGAATTTTCTGGAAAAATTACCCTATAATCTATTCAAAGCTTTATATAATTTTATCTTTTGGCTCTGTGATTCCATTAATGTTGTGCCCGGAAAGCTTGTTCCCGGAACTACTGTTTCGGCTATTTCATCTTCATCTCAAGGCTAAGTATTGCATATTTATTCAATTCTACTATTATTTCAGGATCAAATTAATTCACTTGTCTAGAAACCACTTATAAATTCAACATGAGAGAAGAATCAGATAACTTTCTCATAAGAAAAGGTAAGGACGAGATGAGTTCAACTTACCATGATTTTTGTCCTTCCACCCATATTTCAGGGACAGCTCTTTCCACGAGCGGGTTTCGGGCGTAGTAACGTCCAAAATTTTCTGAACCCATTGATCCAAGCCCTCAATCCTGGGGGGGGGGGGGGGGGAACCCACCGAGTCGCTGAGGTAGGTAAAGGAAGAAAAGTTAATAATGATGAGGAATGGTCTTTAACAAAGGCAGAAGCAAACTGTATACTTACAAGTGCGGTTCCACAATTCCGGGAAGGAAGGAGCCGAGGCGGGAATGATGTCACTGGTGGCAACTGAAACATACCATTCCATCCACCCACGGTCGTTATCATCGTCCATGCTAGATAGAAGTGCATGGTGGCCTCGCTTGCTGAAGTTAATCATCCCCCCACGGAAGATCTTGGGGAATAAAGGTTCATCACATGAGCTAGGGATAACTCCTCCCTCGTTTCTTGGCATAGGCGCCAAAGACAAGCGATCGTCCTCCACACGGAGGGACCCACCTGCGCCAAACATACCTAGTAGCGGAGGCAAAATTCCACAATAACGGAGTCAAGCTCTCCACTCAGAGAAAACGCTCCCAAAGTAAAGGGATACATGTAAAAGTATGTAAAACCCTCATTGGGTAGGGTTACCCGCTCCGCCAGATCAAGAACGATAATGTCTAAATCCTGGCAATGACAATCTTCCTTCACAGCAGGAATACTGGAAGGACGGATGGAAGAAGAGTATCTGCCAACAACCCATGTACGAGAGTTAGCAAAAGGAAACTTCTCTTCGAAATCTTTGGTGGTAATTAGGCTCTTTGGGACAATGGTATTCACCGTAGGGGGAGCGGCATCGTCAGATTTGCCTTTGTTCTTTGAAGAACTAGGTTTTCTTGAAGAGGAGGCCATTTCTTATCAGTGAACGAGTTTTTTTCTATCAAAGAAGGAAGGGGGGGAAAGATTGAAGTCGGAAGATGAGTTGAGTAAAGAAAATCTTAGAAAATCCAGAGCGTTATGAAGTGTAAAATTAAGGAAGTAGATGCGTATAAGTAACGGTTTGGGCGGCTAAACTTGTGACCACAATTACCTCGATAACCGGCAAAGGTTACGTTGAATCATGGTATGACGTGTTCGGGACATTAAATGCGGAGAGACATGCGTCTAATCAACCGCCAGAAGTTTTCCAGAGGGGGTGAGTGAAATTTCCGATAAAAGGAACGTCTCTACAAACTTCTTGGTGACACAAAGTTATGTCACCGCAAAACATGGGGACTATCTGTATAGGGTAAATATGCTATGATAAGTCATTGCATGAAAGAATGACACAGGGAGCCGGAGGCAGAGGATAGCTAAAACTGAAGACAATTGTTTCATCTGTTATCGGAAAGGATGGTGCTCACAAAGATGCAATAAGTGCCTACCATCCGGTAGAATTTAATGGAGAATATTCCATAGCATTGTACACTGCTCGTTATAAAGAATTTATCATTCATGCCTGCCGTTACACATTCTTCAATGGCCCTCATAATTGACATTAAAGAGGGGCATGATGCTAGGACCTTATTCCCTAGGTGTAGCTATAAATAGTGAGCTCTATTATCATTGGCAGGCACATAAATTTTCTCGAAAACTTACGCAATAATCTATTCAATACTTTATACAATTTTATCTTTTGACTCTTTGATTCCATCACTATTGTGCCTGGAAGCCCTATTCCCGGAACTACTGTTTCTGCTATTTCATCTTCATCTCAAGGCTAAGTATTTTATATTTATTCAATTCTCCTATTGTTTCAGAATCGAATTAATTCACTTATCTAGAAATCGTGTATAAATTCAACTCTACCATTTTACGGGTAAACACACCGATAGAACTAAAACAATACATTAGAATTGAAAAAAATTGAATAGTTAATAGACTTAATTAATCGTTAAATGAGTTCAAATATTTCATTTGTTATAAATATAAAAGGGACTTTTACATGATTATTCGGTCGGAGCAAAATATTTACCCTCCCTAATTAAAAAAAATCCGTTTAAAAGATTACAAAACGGTATTTGTATACCTTCAGAATATACAATTTAAAACTTCTTATATTTTTATATACAACTAAGGTATATAACATGTGAATTTTATATTTTGAAGATGTATACAATGTACATACCTACTGTATTTGGTAAATATATTTTCCTAAACACGTACAGAGAGTATTTTTTTTTAAATGAACATTTTTGGGTAATTAATTTTTGCCACATGAACATCTGCGTTAGTTAGGGTGTAAAGTTAACCACAGTCACGCCTCTACCAACTGGAATAATGGAAAGACAAAACTTTGTATTTGTTAACTACACTACTCTTTTTTTGAGTAGTAATAAGATTATATATTGCTTACTAAGCAGCGTTTAACATATTACATATCATAGTGCCACTTGAAGTTTCATTGGGGTAGGATAACCCTGCATGCAAAAAGCTATTATCACTTGCAATGTTTTGGTTTCCTAGGGTTCTAAGCATATTACAAATAGAAATAGGTAGTTATTTTGAAGATTTGCATTCCCCGCTCATATCCTTGGTAAGCATTCGTTCCACAAAAAAAGGCGGTACAACAAATAGTTTTGTTTTCCCCGGCAAATATTGTTTGTTTTCTTGATTTTTTGCTTCCTTTGCTAGAGCATCCGCAATTGCATTTCCTTGCCTAAAGTTATGTCGAAGTAGAAAGCCTTTCTCCTGGCGCATTAATGACTTGCAAGAGTGAATCAGATTAGCTAGTATGACATGTCCGTTGCTAATAGCGTTTATCACCTCTGTTGATTCTATTTCTGTCTCCAACGAAAATATATTGAACCTGTGTGCCAGTTGTAGCCCTTCTTGAAGTGCCTGCAATTCAATATGTAGAGGAAATAGGCCATGACAGAGTTTCTGGAATCCTAATATCCATTTTCAAAAGCCCCGTCTATAATAAGTTTTATCCAACCTATTTGGGAGGCATGCCATTTAATTTGAATTGTTTGATGGTTTGGATGGATTGGTTGTTTGAAGTCATGAAATAGAATTCTAGGGAGTGATTTAGAATTCTTTGGAAGGATGGATTGAGAGTTGTGTTGTTGGTGTTGTTCTTATTCCTATTAATCCATATCCCCCATATTATGAAGGGAAAGAGCTGTTGGCAGTCAATGTGGGGGGATTTAAAATTTGTCCTAAAGTTTTTTATGTGAAGCAACCAGTGTTGAGAGGCTGTTATGGATGGGTCCTTGATTCCTCGATTGTCCCATAGGGTTTGAACGATGGGGCATCGAATAAAAATGTGAGTGATGGACTCTTCCTCTTTGTGATACATGAGACAATTGTTATCTATATTAATGCCAATATGATACAAGTATTGGCAATATGGGATTCTGTTGTGGAGGCATTGCCAAAGGAAGAGCTTAATTTTATTGGGAAATTGTGGTTTCCAAATCCACATGAAGCCATATTGATGGGTAGTGGTATTTTCTATAATTTTTTAGCACGATTTACTGGTAAATAGCCATTGGTGTTAAGATTCCATATCGGAGTATCGTTGCTCCCAGCTTTTAAAGGCATAGGAATTTGATCAATTCTTGTTTTAATATCCTTTGGAATGGGAAAGGATATTTTTGATAGATCCCATTGGTCTTTGAAAAAGATGTCTTTAACCTTCATGGTTGATTCTCCTCTATTAAGAGGTCCTTCAATGTATTGTCTTAGTGGCTGAAGGTTTGGAATCCAATTGGAGGTCCAATGACTAAGATTTGAGTTTTTACTGGGTTGCCACGTGATGCTTTTTGAACAAATCGACCACCCCTTAAGGATGCGTTTCCAAACGAATGAGGTGTTGATTTTTGGATTATTGTTGGCATATTTGTGAATAAGTAGCCTTGACCATAATGTTGTGGCATTTGTCAAAATTCTCCACGCAAGATTTCTTAGTGTAATTAAATTCTTGGTTTTGGCTGTTTTTAAGCCTAGGCCCCTTCTTTTTTTGTTTTGGTAATATTGCTCCAGCTTACATAATGAATCTTCTTTGATTCACTAGTGGATCCCCAAATAAAATTGCGTTGAATACGATCTATTTGCTTAAGGGTTTTGGTGGGGAGATAAGTGTAATGCATAGCATGACTAGGGATTGAGTTGAGGGTACAAATTCAAGGGTTGTTCTTCCAGCTATATTGAGGAATTTTGCTCTCCAGGAGGTCAATTTTCTTTGCATGTTAGTATTTTCCAAAAGAGTTACCTATTTTGATGTTAAAGGTGTTTGCTACTTCTTTTGCTAAATTAGGAGCACAGTTTTTTGAAAGGATGATCTTGGATTTTTGGAGGTTGATATTTTGCCCTGATAATTTGCAAAATAGAGATAGACTATGTTTTATGGAGTTGCATGATTTTTCATTAACCCTAGCCATAAGGGTAAGCTCATCAGCAAAGAATAGGTGAGATATGCCAGGATCTCGATTACTTAGATGTATGGGGTCCCATTGGCAAATGTCTACTTGATGGGAGATTAGGCGGGAGAACATTTCCATACAGAGGATGAAAATATATGGAGATAAGGGGCAACCTTGTCTAATACTCTGCTTGGACTAAAGAATTCAGTCATTGAGCCATTGACTAGAATAGCAATATTGCTTATACAGATGCAATTCATGATTAATTTAGAGATAGATGGAGGGAAGTTGAAGAATTTAAACGTACAATAGATGAAAGACCATTCTAGTCAGTCAAAGGCCTTTTCTAAATCTAATTTTAGGATCATACTAGCCTTTATCCCTTTTATTTTCTTGAATTGATTGATGATTTCCTGCACTATGATAGCATTGTCGCTAGTTCTTCTCCCTTTAATAAAGCTATCTTGAAAGAGGCTAATCAAGTCATTTAAAAAGGGTTTTATTCTATTAGCAATAATCTTAGTAATGACTTTGTACATTGTATTGCAAAGGCCTATTGGCCGAAAGTTTTTTAAATTGTTTACATTATGGATTTTTAGAATTAGGCAGATATAAGTATTATTAATATTCATTGGGAGTGAATTGTTACGGAATACTTGGAGACAAAAATTAATAACTGATGGCCCAACGGTTTTCCAGTATTTTTGATAGAAGAAGGGGTGAATACCATCAGGCTCTGGTGCCTTAAGGGGTTTAAACGAAAAAATAGCATTTGTGACCTCAAAAGGCATTAAGGAATTATCCAAGTTCCGTAGGTCAATTTTATTGAAATTTGAGGGATCTTGGCGGATGCTCAGCCAGTTAGTGGATTCATGAGATGTTGTGAAAGTGTTGAGGAAGTATTGTTGGGCATGATTTAGAATTTCCAATGGATCATTGATCCAATTGCCCTGATCATTTTTAAAGAACATGATTTTATTTTTTCTTCTATTGTTAGTGGCCATGATGTGGAAAAACTTAGTATTTGCATCACCCTCTTGGACCCAAGAGATTTGGCTCTAAGTTTCCAGTAATCATCTTCAATTTTTAGGAAATTATTGTATTCAATTTGTAAAGAGTGTTCCAATTCCTGAAGGAATATACTATTAGGGTAGTGCTTTGATTCTTGGATGCCTTTTAGCCTAGCTAGAATTCTTTTTTTCTTCCTGAAGATGTCACTAAAGACATTATTTTTCCAAGCTTTAACACTACCAACGAAGGAATTAGACGATTCTTGATAATTTGAACCCTTCCAACTTTCTTCTACTAGATTGTTAAAGCTAGGGTGTCTACACCAATAAGTTTCTAATCTAAATGGTCTCGGAAGGGCAGCGGTTAATTTTGGGATTAGTTGAAGAAGTATAGGGTTGTGGTCAGAGTGGGTTTTGGTCAGATGTGTAACTGAAGCATTAGGAAAACAACTGATCCATTCACTATTAGCAAAAAATTTATCTAATATTTCCATAATTAGGCCTTTATTTTTCCTCCTACGATTAGTCCATGTGTACTTGCAACCCTTAAAGCCAAGATCAATGAGACCACATTTGTTAATGCAGCTCCAAAGATGCTTAGTGCGATTACTGTTAACAAGATTGCCCCCTAATTTTTCATTTGAATCTAAGACGTCATTAAAATCCCCCCTACTAGCCATGGTCCCTTATAATTAGCATGCATGTTGATAAAATTATACCACATTTAATTTCTATAGCTAATCTTAGTACTAGCATATATAGAGGTAAATAACCAAGTATTGTGAGTGGGGATTACCTTAATGGTTGCACTGATTTCTTGACTTGTACGAACAAAACTATGGACATTAACAAGAGTATGATCCTAGAGAATCACCATACCACCCGATTGACCATTAGCCGAAATTTCAATCATGTCAGAGAAACCAAATAGATTCAGAAAAGGCATATGGTTGTCCATTCTTATTTCCAAGAGCGTGACCATCCAAGGGCGATGGGTGTCAATCATTTCCCTATAGTGTAATCTGAAATTATGATTGTTTCCCCCATGCACGTTCCATATAATGAAAGAGATAGCCCTATTCATGTTGAGGTTCCAGTTGTGAAGGTCTCCATTCCCTAGCACCCTTGGTGCATGCACTGGGTTCCTTCTCTAGAAGAGACCAGGATCATTGCATGTTGCCCCACTATTGGGTCGGCTGGAGGCCTTATGTCCATTGTGCACTTTGTATAGTGCCATCGGACAATTAAGAATTTGCCTCTTTTCTTGCGTCTCTATGAAGATAAACACATTTACCTCATCGAGATTTGAATCTTCCATTAGTGATTCTGGGATTAAGTTGATGGGTTCAACTGCCTTCTCCATCATGTCCTCTTGATGTGGTAAGTTTGTTGGTACATGGGACTGTGATGGACCTTGGTGAGGAACTGGGGGTGCATGTTGAACATTTGGAGTTGGAGTTTGAGTTTCATGTGCACCCCATGTGTAAAAATTGGGTTGATGTTGGTGGCAATCTCCGGAGTGAAGAATGGTAAGTCCATCACTGGGTGAGCACTTTGGATTAGAACAAAGTGGGGGGGGGGGGGGAGGGGGGGTAGGTTCCATTCCCCATCATCATTTGAGTTGCATTGGGAGTTAAGTTTGGTGCTATTGGGTAGAGAATATTGTTCAGCCAGTTGTGGTTCATATAGTTGTTCATTGACAGCCGGATGCCCTCCGAGATTAGTTGTGCGAGATAGTGAGAGTTGTGAAGTACAATCACTGTCTCTCTCCTGTTCAACATGATGTTGAAGGAGATGGCGCGGCCCATTAGACCCAGCTCCACCTAGGATAGAGCTTGATGATTCTCCAGCAGGGTATTTGTTGTTTGTGGGTTGGGAGGTGTTAGGTTTGCCATATTTTGAGGGCGATTGAGACGTAGGATTTGTATGAGCCTGTAACGTCTCATGTTGGAGATAGGAATTCTTGGCATTTTTTATTAAGGATGAAGATCTTATAGAGGTTTTTAAGGTATTGTTGGTATCTTGGGAATTCACATAATCAATTTCAATTATTGTAGAATCCGTTTGCATGTTATTTGGGAGGGGTAGCGTAGAGGTGTTATTAAGGGAGGGAGTAGATTGGTTTTGGGGTACGTGTTCCATGGAATTGGCCCTTTGGAACAAGGATGGTTCTTGTTTTGATAGGTAGGTTTTGTCACTTGTGGCATGCATGGGATAATTATTTTTATGAGTAGAGTGAGTTAGGGTGTTAGCGTGATTATTAGTAGATAGATTGCTTCCGTTATTAGTATTACTGAGGGAGTAATTTAGGGTAGGGTCTGTAATGGAGGACGCGTGTCCTACTGAGTTGTCTTTGTAAAAGAAATTATTAGTTTTAACATTATTTTCTTTTAATTTTCCAGAAGTCTGGTTTTTTGTATCATCCAAAACCATGTCCTGCACCATTAGAGAGGAAAACTGGTTTTTTGAGTTGATGTCCATTTTATTTGTGGATTGATTCCCAGCAATTAGCTTTTTTCCCAGATCTATTATCCCCCAAAGAGCTTTGTTTGTGATGGTCTTTGTAGTTAAAGGTTGGAGAGGTAAGGAACTTACCTGTAGTAGCATCGAAGATATTGACATTTATACCTGCCCTTGACGGAGATTCTTTGCTTTCATTCATCGTGAGCTTTTTCTTTCCTTTGTGGAAGGTGACTGTCTTCCACTCCTCCTTAGTCCTGGGTTGTTGCTCCTGCATGTAGCTGATTTGCCCTTTTTCTTCTTCTTTTTCTTTTTCTTTTGTTATTGAAATTGTTGGTTGCTGCTTCATTGTTGTGCATTGTCCAGTAGAGTGACCCAAGTGTCCACAGATTAGGCATAGAAGTTTGTCACACTCGTATAGGATTTGCTGTTTGTGGGAACCAATCCACACATTGGATTTAACCTGTTTGTTCAAAGGTAATTCTACACAAATTCTGGCATAACGCCCACGTAAAGCTGTTGATGTGCAGACCTTGAGTAGCCTTCCAATTGTGTTGCCCACTTTTTTTTTTAGAATTTTCTCATCATAAAACTCTGTGGGAAATTGTGGTAGGCGTATCCAAATTGCAGTAAGTGTTTGTTTGGATTTTGAAGGTACAAAGTTAGGTTCCCAGCGTTGCACCGATAAGAACTATCCAAAGATGAACCAGAGACCATTGTAATGCATTTACCATATTTTTCTCTTTGTTGAACTTCACTGTATAGTAGTCCTCGCCAAGGTCAATTAGAGGAAATGCCTCTGTAGGCTTCCAAAGGTCTGATAGTTTACGTTTGAGAATTTGGTGGAGGATTTTTTTTCCCTTGGAGTTTGATTATTACTTAGAATCTCCATGGATAGTAGATGCGCTGTTTATCTTCCCCAGTTATTGGAACCGAGTACTCATTCTCCTGGGCTTCAGGGGTCTTTTCCCGTTCTTCCTCAATGGTATCAACGGCCATAGGCAGTAAATATGGGCGAGGTGAGGATATTAAAAAACTTCTCTCTTATTCATTGGTTAGAAGTTTGTCCTTGAAGGAGATTGTTTCATTTGTCTGGGGGAGATTAATATCCGGTGGTTTTGGAGGTAGTTCCTCTAGAACAGTGTGGTTTTCCATTTAATTCTCGGTGTAGGATTGTTTTATTGGTTGGTAGGGATTGGTATTTTTTAGTGAGAAGGGAGAGTTTCTCTCTCTAGTTGGCCCCTGTGTGAAAATTATTGTTTACTACACTACTCTATCCTAGCTTTGAGGAAAAATGATATTCTTTTTGTCTTTCGATTGTGGAGTATTTCACCATCTTAAAGTCAAATATAGTTTTCCAAATATTATTTCTTTGGTCATCTAAATTAAATAGAATTTTTTTCACATTTTAGTTGCATGAGACTCTCAAGGATTTGTAGCGCCTCGAAAAATATTTAATTAAGTTTAACATTTTAAAGAGTTCTAATAATATTTTAAAAATTATTTTGCGTTCCAAGAAATACTGCAAATCAATAAGCGGATATATGAGCATGATATGAAGTTTATAACATTGTTTGAAAATGAGTTGTTGAGGTAGGCGATCACAAAAGAGAGAAGATAAAATATGTTAAGGTAATGCGACAACAAACAAAAATCGGATGTTGTAGCATCCAAGATTGTTTTCCATGATGAAAATTTAGCTAATGCTGTAGCATAGAAAATTTAAAATTGTAGCGCTCATGACTGTTTTCATAGGGAGATATCTTTTAGGCGATGTTGCAGCATCCAAAATTAGATGCTGCAATATTTAAGACATCTCTAAGCACAAAATGATGTTGCCTGACAAGTCCTTCTACGCAATCGCAACAGTACCCCCGCGAACACGAAAGCCAGCACTGGAACTGTCCACGAACGCGAGCCCACTCTCGCAAATGCGAGCCCACTTCCAAATCACCCAGCACCCTACGTGAATGCGGTGCACCTCTGGCGGTCGCGAAATACAAAGGCCCCTAGCTCCACAACATTCTTCGCAACATGTTCTTCCAGCCATGTTCGTGATGCCCAGCTCCACCATGATACGCGATCGTGAACTCCTTTACGCGAAAGTCATTCACAAACCCCACCAACTAAGAATCATTTTTCGCAGATAACGAGACTCAGCTCCACGATCACGAAGAACTATAACACACCAACAAACCAACAGTGCTAAACTCACCCGAAATGGTCCGAAATCACCCGGAAACTCACCCGAACCACCCGGGAGTCCAATCATTCCAAAACGTCCATATATCTCCTAAAACTTGTCTCAAGGCTCAAAATATCAACAATAACGATAAAACAAAGAATCAAAAATCAACCTCTCTTAACTTTCAAACATTCTAACTTTGTCGAATGTATTTGAATCACACTTAGACATTCCGAATTGCAACTAAACTTTACACACAAGTTCATATCAACCATTAGGAACTATACATTGTCTCAAACCTACAATCGAAGTCCGATAATACCGAAGTTAACTTCCGGTAAATATATGAACTCTCTAATTCTTCAAATTGCCAACTTTCAGCAAAAAGATCCAAAACCTTCCAGGAACCTCTGATTCCAAAGCCATTCACAAGTCCAAATTCAAAATCACCATATGAACCTATTAAAACCATCAATTTCGATTCTAAGGTTGTTTACTTAAAAGTCAAACATTTGTCAACTCTTCAAATTGAAAGCTTCCATAATAAAATTTACTCTTCCAAACCAATCCCGGACTTCTCGGAAGTCAAAATCAACCATGTTCGCAAGTTGTAATGCATCATATAAAGCAACTCAAGGTCTCAACCACCAAATGGAATGGTAAAGCTCAAAACTATTGGTCGGATTGGTACATGCTCCCCTACTTAAAATACATTCGTCATCAAACGTGCCAAGGGTCATTCCAAAGCCGTCAAATAACTATACAAGCTTCTCATACACATACCCGTGAGTGTTACCGTGGCACCTCAATTCATATACATCTATTAACACATCCATGACTGAAGATTTTTCCTTCAACCTTAGCCTATCAGCCTTAGAACCAAATTTTAATATCCGAAACTCCCTCTAAAATCTGATTCTTTTAACGCTGCATCAATTCACACATGCTGATCAAGTCATAAATGTACTTTTAGGACATAATCACATGATATACCCTATAACTCATATACCCATTATTACACCCCACAATATTACGTCAATGTTATACACCGTAGTAAAATAAGGATTGGTTACGATGTTAAAATAATATATGCTAGCATGTAAATATGCATAATACACATGATTAGCATAATATAGGTCCTATAATTAGTAGAGAAATATTGAGGTGCTTATGTGTATATATGTATTCTTTGTAAAAAATCTATTGCCAAGTAAAGACAAATGTTGCCTCTTCCACCGTCCAAGGCCCTTAGTCATTACAAATTGATACATATCCAATCTTTAAATTGAAGGAGGTCATTTAGGAGCTGCTGCACATTATACAATTCATATTAACCCCATCTCAATAAACTAGAAGCCAATTACGGACAACTCTCTCTAAGGCAATTGTATTGCAATTTTCCTCTTGGTTTGGAAGTTTTGTGTGTAAATGAGTTGGGAAGGCTTATCTCCAGTTCATATTATCAATTTTCTTCAAAAAAATTATGGTAAGAATTCAACAATCCTTCTAGATAAGTTTATTTTCAACTTGGAGAAATCCACTTTAAATCTTATTGATGTAGAAATAAAGGTTCTTGTAGTGTATTTGAGGAGGATTTGAAGGGCTGGAAATATAGTTATAAATATGTATATGTGTTGTTATCATTGTTGTTCAAGGTACTATCATAGTCTTCTCCATGTATTTGAGGCCATTTGGATCATAGTTTGGTTATTGATGAAGTGTTGTAGTTGTTGAACGGTTTTGAGTGGTTTCTTAAGGTATCCTATGGTTGAAAATTGTGAAGTATAATTGTTTGTGATGGTGGTTGTGTTGTGAGTAGAGGAGAAGAGCTAGTAGTGTTGAATTGCCATTGTAGGATGATATGAAGCTTATGCACCCTAAGAGTTCGATAAAATGTCGTAGTGAATCCAATTCTTGGTTTATGGATAAGATTGTGATCCAAACCATTTATACAATGTAGATTATCATTCGTAGAGTGTACGGGACCTCGTGAGCCATTGCTAGCCGAGAAACAAAGATATGTTAAGGCTATCCATTCTTTCCTTTTGTAATGATCCATACGATACTAATGAATCAAGCAAACACACAATTTTCACAAATGACACTATTCCTAGAAGTACTAGGGGTTCCTATGTTCTTGATTCCCCATGTGTCCTATTATTCTATCAGCTGTTCATGCGTTTCAGAAAATACGTAAGTGAATAAAGTTTATTTCATGATATTAATCGAAGGCATAATTATCTTATGACGTTCTGAGAGATCTTATTGACTTACTTCATTATGCAATGTATTTATTTATATATGTACATTGACCCATGACCATATGGCGTTATATACGCATATATTATATGTATATGAGGCGTGGGAAAAGGATATGGCATTATATACACACCACCACCTGATCAGCTGGTATACATTGATGATTTCGCCACAGAGGCCGAGATAATATGATGGGATAACCTCAGAGGCTTGATGATGTTATGTACGCATATACCTATGCATTTATACGCACATGCATGACATTATAAATGTTTCAGGATTGACAAAGCTATTTAGACTTACAGGTGGAATCCTTTACCCCGCGTTTCTTTTATGTCTTTTATGTACTGATTTTCATGCCTTATATACTCGGTACATTATTCGTACTGACACCCCTATTTCTTGGGGCATGCGTTTCATCCCCACAGGTGCAGGTAGACAGGCTGATGGCCCCCCTTCTTAGGATCCTTGCTCAGCGAGAGTGGGTGTGCTCCATTTGATCTGGAACTGCTTTTGGATTTTGGTACAATATGTTTGTATATATATGGGTATGACGGGGCCCAGTCCCGTCCTTTATACAGTTGTACACTCTACTAGAGGTTTGTAGACAGTCATGTGAAGTTGGATAGTATGTGGCCTTGTCGGCTCACCTTACCGTATTCCGCATATATATATATATATATGTCTTTTGGGCATATTTTCTCGCGTACGTTATTCACATGATTCAATAGTTTATTTGCCAGACGTTATGCATGACCTACACTTATTTCATGTTTTACCTTAGACGTATGCTTAGGGGTGTTTGACAGGTAGGCTCGGACACTTGTCATGGCCCATCGGTTTAGGTCGTGACAAAAGTGGTATCAGAGCAGTTTTGTCCTAGGGTTGTCTACAGACCATTTCTAGTAGAGTCTTGTTTATGAGTGTATTGTGCACCACATTTATAAACAGAAGGCTACATGACATATATGATGTTATCCTCCCTTCTTATCTTAGATCGTGCGATTTAAGGAATTATTTTCTTAACGATATCTTATGTTTTCTGCGATGCCTAAGAAGGCTACAGCCGCCCAGAAGGGCAAGTCTGTGGTTGATGAGACTACTAGTCGAGCGCCACGAGTTACCAGGGCTCGGGGAGAGTCTCATAATGAGATTACATCTCAGACTTCACATACCCCACATTCTCCAAAGGAGCTCCGAGGGGCACAAGCTCCAGCGCCCGCCCCTGCACACCCAGCTCCTCAGCCAGATGCAACGGGTTAGGAGATGTTGTTCAACTATTGACTTGATTAATAGCCGCACAGGCTTAACGCCAAGAGGTAGGTATTGGTCATACAGATAGGGCCATCAGTGTGAGGGTTTGTGATTTCATTAATTTGGACCCTCCGATATTCACTGGAGCAGATCCAAACGAGGACCCTCAGGTATTTATTGATAGGATGCAGAGGACTTTGAGGGTAATGAATACCATTGAGACTGAGTTAGTT